AAGTAAAACAAAACAAAGCCCTTGTTTTTGATCCCTCAGAGTATCAAGGCCTGAAGGATTTGGCTGCTTCATGTTGTCATCCCATTTTCTACACTGCAGGAGTCCAGCAGAAGGGGTCTAAGCTCTGTCTTTCATGCTCCTTCTCCAAGTGAGTGGATAAAGCTAGCAGTCACCCGGGGAAGGTATGAGGGGAGAAGCAGTACTGGAGGGGGAGGAGGCACTGGGGCAGGAGGCAGCACTGGGGGGCGGGGGAAGGGTGGCATAGGAGGGTCTCTCTCACATGCCAAGCCATCACAGCTTCCTGTCTAAACATCAGGGGCACAGGAAGTACCTGGCACAGGAAGTACCAGGCCACAGAAAGGCAGGTGCCACCAGTCTTTCTGGAAAGACTAGCACCCAGGATGGGAGGATTGATTTTCTGGGTGTGGTAACATGAGGAAGAAGGGAAAAGGATCACCTCTGAGACCCAAGTAGGAAAAGCAAAGTTCCACCTGACTCGTCTGGGTAAGAACACAGACCTAGAACTTTCCTTGGTCCCTGTGAGAGGAGCACAGGGGAGGAAAACTCCAGCATGCAATCAGGCAGGTGGCTGCTCTGGGCAGGGTTTCTGCAGAGGGAGCCCACGGATGAGAGCACTGGCCCACGGATGAGAGCACTGGACTTGGAAGCCAGCAGTGTCGAGTAAACATGGAGGCCCTGGGGAGCAGGGATTGTGCAAGAGAACAGAGACTAAGAGCAGTCAAGCTCACCCTTAGTCAGCTGGTGGAACAGCCCAAGATTGGGTGTGGGGGGGGGTGGGAGGTCACTGAACAAACATTTTTCCTTTCCACGCAAAACCTTAGTTTTCAGTAGAATTTTTGCCCTTTTTTTTTTTAATGCTGCCTCATTTTAGAGTTATTTTGTAGCTATTATCTTTCTTTGTAAAGTTGGCAGGTACCCAGAAAAAGGTGCCTGTTCTAGGAGAGGAAGTTTCTGGAGTGGGACACTGCCCACAACCGTGCACCACTGGGAGCAAAGACACACCAAAGTGACACTCCCAGTGTCCACTGACATCTGTGTCCTCCCTCTGAAGTCTAGGTAACTTCTGGCTACCATGAGGATGAGCAGGGGAGGCAAGGCTTACGAAGGGAGCACAGGCGGAGGGAAGTTGCTTGAGAAAAGAGTTAGATGGGAGGTAGAGATGAGACAGATGCAAATTAGAGTCACTCACACTAATTTGCTTCTGGACTTTGTAATGAGGAGGCAGGTTGTAAACATTTTCAGAACTCTCCTGAATTTACAGATTCATTAGCATAAGCTTTTAAAGAAGTGTTATTTGTAGCAAGATCTAAAAAAAAAAAAAAAAAAAAAGAGAATCTTATTGTCAAAAACAAAACCCCAAGCAAACTAATGAGAAATAAATTGAGTGTATGCTATATGCAGAGTGTTACAAGCAAGTTTCTAGAAAGTCTCTCCAGAAAAAGAACTGCTGGCTCTGATCCCTGAGAATGACAGAGCTCAGCTCCTCAGCTGAGACTCCAGGGTACAGAGGTCCAAAGGTTTTTGTTGTTTTAAGCCACTGCTACTACAGCAGACAAGGTGGACTAATATATTTCTATACCCTTTGGATAAAATCAATCAGAAAAAACAACAAGGATCACAGAATGGATTGAAAAAATATGGCATAGCCACGGGAAGGAATATTATTTGGCCTTGAAAAAGAAGGAAATTCTGCCACACGCTACAACATGAATAAACCTTGATAACTGAAACACAGCAGTAATAAACATATCAAATACTGCACGGTCCACTTATATAAGATGCCTAGTGTCATCACCTTCATAGAGACAGAAAGTAAAATGGTTGTTGCCAGGGGCTGAGAGACAGGAATGGGAGTTATTATTGAATGAGAACAGAGTCTCAATTTTACAAGATGGAAAAGAGTTACAGAGATGGATGGATGGATCATAGCACAGCATCAGGAATATGTACTTAACGCCACTAAATTGCCTGCCTGATGTCTGTATAGGCTGCATTTCATTTATTTAAAAAAGATTAAGATGATTCATTTTGTTATATGGATTTTACCCCAATAACAAAATTAAAAAAAAAAGGACTATAGTATTCACACCTTCACGATCATGCTTCACCAACAATGGGATCAGAGGATAAAGGGCTGAGGGTGGAGGACAGAGAGTTTTTTGTTGGTGACGAAGCCAGATTGACTCACGAGCCGTCACAGGGCCGTGTACTAACCACGCAGGACACTTCCTTCCACCACACGCCCAGCTGAGGACGGGATGTCCAAGGGTGGATCTTAAATCTATGGCAGAATCCAGAGTGACTACTCCCGGAAGTCCCAGCGCTGAAGACACAGTGGGGAAAGTATCCAAGCTTGCACAGTGCCTCACTGCAACCCGAGGCCAATCTGGGGAGAAGCAGCAGCCCCAGCAAACCCTGAAACACTCGGGGCTCCAGGAAGCAACCAGAGCAAGCAGATATTTCCTCAAAATGGTATGTTCTTGAATCTAGTTTTATTCTCCATATTCCTTCCTACCGCTGTTGAACTCAATCTGAAAGTAATCAACAAACCCCTTGCCCCCGCCCTTTTGCTTCCCCAACTGTTTTTGGGGAACATAGTTCCATATGCGCATGGAGGAGACAGCTGTTTCTATCTGTGCCTTCTGGAACATGGCTGCCTCCAATCCAGGGGCGGTGTCAGAATCTTCCCGCCTCATCCCACAGCAGAGCATCTGGAAAATCACTGTGGTTCTGGAGGGAAAGTTCCTGACTTTTCATTCCCAACTCAGTCGGTTGATTTGAGTCCTGAACAGCACATCAAACTTAGGAACCCCAAAGGAAAGGCTATTGATTTCTCTGGGCTTCAGGGCAGGATGAGGGATAAGTCAGGGGCAGGTGGGGACAGGGGCATATGCGCCACCACACCCCGAGTCTCGGGCCCTGACTGTTGGGCTTCAGGTGGGGCCCCGTGCTCATACCTTACTCTGGCCAGTGCCTCCTGTTTTCTGCTTAGAGCCCTGCAGTTGCTTCTTCACTGGCCCCTCTGTCTCCACCCCCATCCCTTTCTATCCTGCTTAAAAAATGTTCAAGGTGCTTATCATGTAAGACCATCTTAAAGTGAACAATTCCATGTCACTTAGAGCACTCACAATGCTCTGCATCTAGCCCCCCTCTCTAGTTCCAAACATTTCATCACCGTAGTTGGGTTCCAAAAAGCAGTTACTCCCCAGCCCCCACCCCTAAAACCCCTGGCAACTACCAATCTGTTTTATGTCTCTAGGGATTTGCCTATTCCGAATATTTCATCTAAATGGAGTCAGACAGTATGTGGCTTTCATTTCTGGCATCTTTCACGTGTTCTCATGTGTTCATCCATGCTGTAGCATGTGCCAGAACATTCTTTAAGTCTGAATACTACTCCCCTGTCTGTGTGGATACTTTGCTTAGCCCTCCACAGGAGGACAGGGGCTGCTGTGGGCCTGGGCATGCTTGTGCTGAGGCTCCTGTCCATTCTGTGCACGACGACCAGCCCCTTCAGTGATGCCCCAGCTACGGTCACTTCAACGCCTGCCACCACTCTTAGGACAAAGCCCTAAGTCCTACATGTGCCTTCTGAGGTCCTCATGTTCTGATCCCTCCCCAAGTTTCCAGCATCATCTCTCACACCTACACTCCTGTATGACTGACATTTTGTTCCTTGCATGTCTGTGCTTTTCTTGTCTCTGAGCTACTGCACAGGCTGTTCCCTCCTTCTGAAACGCCCTTCCCTTGGGTAAGAGGCAAACTGCATTGACAACCCTCACTTCCTTATCCTCCAAGAGCAATAAATTCACCCCGTGTAGCACAGAGCCAGCACAGGCCCCTCTGTGTTTCACAGAGCCTGCTTTGGGATCATGGAGGCCCACATTGGGCCTTGCTGTGAAACCCCACACAGGCAGCCAAGACTCCTTGGGGCCTCTGGGGTTTATATCCTGGGTTTCTGAAATGCAGCTGCTGGAGGTTTGAACGTGGCTCTGTGCATTTGGACCCTGCATCTGTCAAAGCGATGGGACAGGCTGCAGGGCCAGTGAGCCGCCTTCACAGCCCTGGCACCCTGACTCACCCTGCTCAGCACACATCCTCCACCCAGCAGGGTGGATGCTGTGAGGCAATCGCTACTTTTTCAATGGAGCTGGCCAACACCCCACATGCCTGTGAGAAGTGGGGCAGCAGTGGCCTGAACTCTGGCCCCAAAATTCCGCCTCTAACACAAGAGGAGCTGGGCTCCGCCCCGAGGCAGGAGCTGGTGGGGCCTCTGCTAAGAAAGCAGGAACCAGCTCTCAGGTTGAGGAGTCACACCTGAACTTCACAGGCTTCAGCTCAACCGGGCCACAGGGTGTCTCAGTCACACAGGATGTGGTTTTCTGAGGGTGGGGAAGTCTACACCTTCACCTTTCAGTTACTCTTTCTGAGCTTCAATTGTGAGCCTCTGCTCCTCGAGTCTGAGCACTCCCACATGTACACACGTACACAGGGGCACAAAAATGCACACTCATGTGCACACACCATTGTTTGTGCATTCCCACACCCACACACAAGAGTGCCGCAAGGCAGGTGTGCACACACATGTACACAAGTGCCTCCAACACCCTTTGCTTCCTCTTTTCTGACTTCTGAAAATACAGTCTATTATAAGGGGGTTGCAATTGTATGGGGAATATAAAAATAAAATTAAAAAAATATATATGTATAATCTATTATAACCCTTCTTTCTACATAATTCCTAGTAACCCCTTGTCATTCTTTTTTCCCCTCAAGTTCTCCATCAAACCAATTCTCATGTAAACATTTGGTAGAAACTGCTCGTAAAGACAAGTTAATTCTCCCAGAGATTTGTCATCTGCAACTACTTTCCTCCACAGATGAGAAAAAGAGGGGAAAAATGGACAGAGACGCTTGTGTGTTTCTGAAGGCCTCTGAGGAAAATGATGTGGTTCTGAGGGAGCCCGTCTGCCACTCACCTCCAGGACTTTCCCTGTGATAAACTGGTGACAGGCTTCACACTTCACGCCAAAGAGCCCCTGGTAGTCCTTTTCACAATACGGAGCACCATCCCTGCAAGACAGAAGAGAGTTCAGCTCCCCGGAGTCGCAGAGCAGTGGAGAAGACATCCACACCACGTTTCTCTGAGCCCCTTTCCACAGAACCAATCTAGAAGGTATTTCTCTCCGCCTCAGGACTCACAAGTTTGGATATTTGGTGAAATGTGATCAAAAGCCACGAAACTAAGCGATCTGTCTCACAGAATAACAGCCCAATTGCCAGGTGATTACAATCACAGATACCCTGTTTGTCTCAGACATGACTAGAGAAACCCTGGAATTGCTCTTGATACCAGCCCAGATGTGGCCTCAGTGTTTACCTTCCTGTGAGGAGGCCCAAGTCCTCCTTCCCTTACATACCAGCTCCTGGAGCTCACAGAACCTGGCAGCAGCAATGAGACACCATCACCTCAGCCCTCGGAGGCCTGGGGCCTGGAAACTTCCATTTACCTCAGTTTCTACGTGTGTCATTCCAAGGAGAAATTAAAAAGAACAACTCTTGACATGACACCCAGCTACCTGCTGTGCCACAGCCTGCAGGGTTAGTTTGAGCCAGGCATTTCTCTCATTTACCTTTGCATTTGTATCAGAATCAGCTGGAGTTTTCTCCTTTCAAATACAGATGTTGTAGCTTTATCCTCCTCCCACAGAGTTAGATTTCTAGGGGGCGGTCCAAGCTCCTTTTCTGTTTCACTATATGTCTAAATTGTTTAATTTTCTTTGAATAGGGGATATACTCACCTGGTTGGGGACCATTTTTTAAAGCACAAAATGGTATACAGGGGAAATTTTCCCTCATTTCACTGGACCCTGTATGCTTTTTCTACCCTCCTTAACTCTAAAAGTAGTTTCACCACTTCACTGTAACCGCCACCCAGGCCAGCACAGGACTCCAACCTCAGCTGCCATGCCAGCCATGTCAGTGTTCCTAACAGATTCATGCCCAGACCTTCTGTGGGGTCTTAGTAAGGCTAAGTAAGGCTAGTTCCAAATGGGAACAAAAAATAGTGAAAGTGCAATTACTAAATGCATAATGGGTGACATTATGTTAGCTGAGTTCATGGTTAAATGAGGCGATGATCTGTATCAAGTGAGTGAAGCCATCCAGTAACCTTCTTTCACTTTCTGACTGATTTCAATTAGCATAATCACCTCAAGATTCATCCACCTTGTCCAGAAAGGCACTATTTCACCTTTGGAAATTAGCTGAGTAGTATAAATAAACGAAGAAAACACAGTGCTAAAACACAGCAAAAATAATTCCTAGACTCTGAGGAATACAGTGGTTATCAGAGCGGCTGGGGGGAGGGGTTGGGGAGAGGAGGGAGTGGTGTGTGGGGAAGGGAGGGAATGGTCAGGAGAGGGTGGGGCCTGCACCCTGGAGCTTTGGTTGTGGCTTAGTGAAGCGCATGCACATTGGTAGGATGAAGTTGTGCTCTCAGAACTATGTAGCTAGATACATGACCAGCAAATGAATACAATGTGAGGGACAAAATAAATTAGGTAATGATTAGCATTTCATTATGAAGGCAAACTATGGCCAAAGTAGAAGAATAAAATTCTTTTCAGAAATGTCCAAGCCCAAAGTTTCTAAGGACAGTGGGATGTGAATGTCTTCCATTATGCCTGAGGGAAGGGGTGAGCTTGTTTTCAGGGCCCCCCTCCCAGAACCGTCCCTGGCCCAGTCTTACTTGCTGATGTACTCCCCGGTGAGGACCTTCCCGCAGGCCTTGCATTTAAAGCACCCCAAGTGCCACTGCTTCTCCAGCGCCAGCAGGGCCTGCCCGTTCTTGATGTCCCTTCCGCAGCCAGCACAGTCTGGAAAGAGCAGTAAGTGGCTGTTACCACACATTTTTTGGGTGTGTTTTGTTTTGCTAAATGCAAACAACAGACCCACACTGAACCCCCATGTGCACCCATCACATACTCAGTAAATATTAAGCACCATTTCATCCCACTTTCTCTCCTGGCACAAAATCTTCCCCAGCAGATGCGCAGGCCCCATCCCTGCACAGCATGGAAACTTCACGGGCCTCTGTGGGTCCAAGGGGATGGATGTCCTTCATCTGTTTATTTCCCTGGGGTTTATCTAAATATCCTCTGAGCTCCAATTGGCCCAGAGAACATTTAATTATAGTGTCTTGGCTGTGAGTTTAAGAAAGCTCTCATGGGCCTTTCATTAATTGAAGGCACACGTGAGTAGCTAAGCACCTCATGCCGGATGCTTCGCTTCACACGGTGTGTGTAGTTGCTGGAAGGCTGCCCATAAATCCCATTTTTTGTAAACAGGACTCTACTTCCTTATCAACCTAAACCAGACTTTCTAGGATTTATGATCATCAACTATGTGATTCTTAATTCCTTAGTTTTAAATTCTACTTGGCAGGTTCCCTATGAAGCAGATAAAGGAGTGAGTATTCCTTTACGGTAAAGAGTGTGGGCCTAGGATGAGGCAGCCAGGTCCTGAGGACTGGCTCGCCTCCTGGTTAGGTGGCCACATGACCCAAGCTGGTTCCACTCCTTTCCAAGTCTTTTTTTTTAAAGATTTATTTATTTATGCATATAAGAGGTGGGGTACAGGCCAGAGGTGTGGGGGGTGAGAGGATTCACCAGAGACATAGTGGGAAGCAGAACAGGCAGATCCACTGAAATGCACTGCTGAGGGGAGCAGCAGGAGAGACAGGAGAGGTCTGCTGCACCATGTGGGCTGCTCCCTGACCAGCTGGGGATCCGCTGCAGAGGCTGTGGATAGCTTCATAGTGCGGTGCTTAACCCCTTGCGCTACCAGGGAAGCCCCTTTCCAAGTTTTGGTTTCCTATGGAAGCAGGGGCGCTGTCAGCGCATGTCCCAAGCCTCCAATGTGGATTCAATGAAGTAACGGGTTTAACACAGTAGTTGACAGGCAGGAAGTGGCTCTATAAACATCTGCTATTGTAAGTGCCTATAACTGCCATCATTATTCTGATTATTCAAAATTTCATTGTTAGGGAAGTTAAGTATTTTTAAGAGATGTCAGAAGAGTGTAAATTGGTACAAACTTTTTAGAAAGCAACTTAAACATCTGCAGACATTGTAAATGAATGTGTTGAAGGAAAGGAAAGCGCACATCTGGCCGGTGAGCTGTGATGCCCTTAAGGGATCACACAGAGCACCCCCGGAACGAAGCAATGTCCAGGTGAGGCTACTCAATGGCCATTTTAGAACAGGACAGAGACAAGGTCACTGGGTATACAAAATGTTTAAGCACCCCCTCTTCTGAGCACATCCACAACTGCTGCTCCTTTGCTAATGATGCTTCCCACCCACCTTGAATTTACTCTCCTCCTAGAAAAGCTTATTAAGAGACCCAACCACCTACTGTTCCTGCTTCTTGACAAAACCCAATCCAGAACTGCCCCCACTCCCTCAGGAGATCCCTAATAATACCCAGGACCAGCAAGCACAAATCCTATCAAAGTTCCTCCAGCTGCCTTCCAGAGAAGGCCCACATTCCCTGGAGGGAATGGTGGTGGGTTGTGGGGGTAGGAACACTTGCAGGGAGGAGAGGAAGGGGGAGGGGCTCAGGGGAGAGGCTACAGATGTGTTTCTGGTCCTCTAAGGTTGCTAGGTATTAGACTGCCTTTAGATGCAGTAATTTCACATCTAAGATTTTACCTTTCAAATAAATTTGCACAAGTACATGTGCACAAATGAGGGTTCCCTGAAGAATATATGTGCATTCCCCACAGTACTTTTGTGATGACAAAACAGAAAATAACCTGTATGCGCATTCACATGGCACTAGTTACATCAATTATAGTGTAGTTAATAATGGAAAACTATGTGCTGTTAAAATGAGTTAAACAGATTTGTGTACTGACATGGAAAAAAAAATCCAAAATAAAGTGAAAAAGCAAGCTGTAGAGTGGTGTGCATAGCACAAGTTCATTCATAGAAAAATAGTAAAGAAATGGGTGTGTGTGTGTTTGCACACATGCTTGTTTATGAATTGGGCATTTCTTGAAAAGAAATTTTAAACTCTTAGGGCAATTTCATCTATGAAGGATCACTTTTACTTTTTACTTCACATCCTGTTATTTGAATTATCTTTTTTTTTACCATGAGAATGTAAATGAACTTTAAAATATATGATATATGTATATTTCAGCTTATAATTTCTTTGAGTATTGTCCATTATAAACTGAGTATGTATTTTATGCTCTCAAGCAACACACAGATTTTTTTTTTTTAATATCCCAGTATCTCACATCTGGTAGTTTATTATAAAGATAAAAGTGGAAGCCCATGATAATTGTTTATAAACACAATTTTTAAAGGTCAGGAGAACAGTATGCATTTATGATGAATTGATGGTTTTTTAATACAAGTTGAACTGAGAATTTTCTTCATTTTTTAAGCTACATTATGCCCACTGGGTGGCAGTAAAGATCTTAAATAGGGAGATGCTGGGTGAATTTTTTAAGCAGTAAATAAACTCGACTGATGGCTTTTCAGTCCCACACTGAAGACAGTTGAGTGAGGAGAGGTTGGCTGAGCCACTCAGGGTCTCCCTCTGAAGAGCAGTGAGGTCTGGGAAAACAGAAGTTGGCACTGGCTTTGGCACAAGAAGTTTTGAGCAAGTTACTCCCTCTGAACTGTAATCTCCTCCAATGAGGACAATAATCCCTGCAGAAGGAGAGATAACCTGCCTTGTGAAGACCTTTGTGTAACACTCTGGAGGCTGGGTCCATTTAGGTGCTCAATATGGCTCCCCTTCCACTTTTTGGGGTGCAGCTGGCACTAGAAAACAGGTTTCTTGACTCTAAGTCATGCTCTCTTCACAAGCAGGTCAGTGCTCAGCTATCCCAGAGTTCTGAAAGAAACCTAGACACAATTTGAGAGTACTAACGACCACCCTAGTTATCCTGCACTGAGGGCTTTCTAAGAACAGGCACCAGGTGAGGGCTTCTCAGATGTGGGAGGCATTTATTCATCACAGGCACTTAGTCAAAGTGTCTTGTGGTCTGGAAGCCCTCTGACCTCACAGATGGTGTCCTGGATCTCTTAGGCCCACCAGGCCCTGCAGTGTCCCATGAAATACATACTGCAACTAATTCTGGTAATTTTATGTAGAGAAGATTCTCTAAAGCCAGCCAGCTGGGAAAGTTGGGCTGGGAGAAGAGGCTGGGCTGAGTCTCCAGCATCCCAAACCTTAGGACATAGAGTCAGCAAATCAATAAAGACCACCACCTGAAACGCTGGATATTCCATCCACAGAGGCTGCCCATTCATTCATCTGGACAAAATCTTATTCTCCACTCAAGCCTGACATCATGCTGGGGAAAGTGGAAAAGATGCAGAGACAGAAAGATTTGTGCTGGATTATTCACTCCTGCATGTTCATTCCAACTGAGCTCTTTTACAAAGAACAAAATGTCCTACTCTCTAGCTTCATGTTTTTCAGCTGTTGAGCAAATTGTTTCCACACCACTGAAGCAGCTGCTGATAAATATAGAAAGCTGGTGATTGGCACTGGAATTATTCAGTCAGAAATAGGTGAATATGCAGCAACATCAAGGAAATCAAACTGTTTCTAGCAACTCGCCAGTATTCTACCATGAAAAACAGTGACTGAATGCAAAAAGAAAACAAGCACCACCGTAATCACTTCACTCCAAGACTTTCATTCTTGGGAACAGGGAGTCAAGAGAAAAGCAGAAATCTGACTACTTAACATCCAAGTTAAACTAACATCCAAGGACACACCTGGTTCCATAGCTACATCATTCTGTTAAAAGGCAATAAATATCCTTGACAATAGGGACCCCATCTGTCTCCTTTAATATGTGTATTGGGGGAGGGGAGGGGGCCAGAGACACCTGGGTTTCCAAAGTATTTAAGTTGAAGAAGGTGCCAAATGGCTCTTCAGAAGGAAATCAGTATTCCCAAGGTAAGACAGATGTCCTGACTTAGGCAGTACTGAAGGTGCTGTCAGCCTGGATACCTACCTTCTCCTGGAGAACTATTTCAACCTTTTTTACAGTTTCCCATTTGGGAAGAATAAGGGCCAAAAAGATGCCTTTCTCTGTGAAGTCTGAGGATATGGAGCTATAGAAAAGAGAACTATGTGGTAACTCAATTCCTGTTCCTCTCACCCTTCTGGGGTCAACACAGTTCAGCCATGCCTGGAATCCATTAGCAAAGATGGAAACTGCCATTCAGAGCAGCTACTCATCTAAGATCCAAACTTTCTGAATATGGAAGTGGACTTTTTCTACAGTTTTGGAATTTTGGTTATAAAAACAATGGTGATAAGTATTCCATATCCCAAAGGAAGTGGCTAGGACTACCTTTAAAGGACTTACCAAAAGATAGCAGAATCTACCTGATGACTATCCACCCCCGTTGCTTACCTACCTCTTGTGAACATAATAAGGAATGTTCTGGGGATACAACCCCTCCTACTCTAGCAGAAGAGAGTAAAGCCATCTGCATAGACTTGAAGTCTGGGAAACATCGCTGCAAAATCTGCTGCCTGCAGGTAAAGCCAATCTTTTTACCCCTACTGATGACCTGATAAAGATTTAAATATTGGGTAACCAATTCTATTCCATTGGTTGTGTGTCTGTTCTTATTCCCATACCATACTGTTTTGATTACTATAGCTTTTTGTAGAGTTAAACGTGTGGGAGTGCAAAATCCTCATTTGTCTTTTGTCAAGATTGCAACAACATGGATGGAACTGGAGGGGATTATGCTCAGTGAAATAAATCAGAAGGAGAAGTCAAATACTGGATAATCTCATTCATTTGTGGAATATGAAGAAACCAAACAAAGTA